TCTCTCCCTCTTTCTTTCCCTCCCCCACTCATGGTCTCTCTCTCTCTCTCTCTCTCTCTCTCTTTCTCTTTCTCTCTCTCTCAAAATAAATAAATAAACATTAACCCCCCCCTCCAAAAAAACACAAACAAAAAAAGGAAACTAATTACAACAGAAACAAAGTTTGCTTCAAATAATCTGCAGCATAAACAAAGGGACTCTGCTAACTACTATAACTTTGTTTTTTACTTGATTTATTTATAGCTTGGCTTTCTATTCATATTGAGAACTCTATAATGAGTTACAGAGTTATAAGTTATAGAGTTAAGAGTTACCCTCTTATGTAAAAAGAAAAGCTTAACTGAAAAAGAGTGGGATCCATTTCTCTTAAAGTAAGTACTGAGTTACCAAAAGGACTCACTATTCTCACAGTTCCTTTGGCTAATGAGTACAGTTTTCTTTTTTTTGTTGTTGTTGTTTGTTTTTTTTCAATATATGAAGTTTATTGACAAATTGGTTTCCAATGATACAGTTTTCAATTTAAATAATACAGAGATTTTTACAAAAAATATAAAGTCCCTTTCAACCAACTTTCTAGAGTAAACTGTTAACATTTTGAGCTGTATCATTCCAGGTCTTTATTTAGTGTACAACTAAATGTGTATTTAGTTTGGTAAAGGAAAAAAAGTATGATTTTGTTATAGATACCACTATAAAATTTATGACTCAAAAATATATAAATATCCTTATCAGCACATATAGATTTACTGCTTCAGTTCATGATAAAGATTTTTTAAAAAACATTTTATCCACTCCCCTATTGCTGGCCACTTAGGTTGTTCCACAACAATTTTTTTATTATAGCAAATGCTGCAATAAACATTCATGTCAATATGGCTTCCAATTTTCATTATATCTACAGACTAGGTAAAAGGGATCTTTATATTCAGTTTTTAGTTACATAAATCCTGACATTTTCAATTTGGAGATGAAATTTTTATTTGAGATGAAAATTTGGACAAATTGTGACAACTTGTGCCTCTGAATGACTTAAACTCTGGTTCTTATCTTTTATACACGCTATGTGAAAATACACACTAGGAAGACTACTCACTACACAGCCATACTGGACTTTTTTTTCTTTACTTCAAATGCCAACCTCTTTCTCACCACAGAGCTATATTTAGCATGTACAGTTCTCTTTTCCTGAAACTGTCTCCAGATATTCTCATGTTTATCTTTTTGTCATTCAGGCCTTGGCTCACACCCCACTTTCTCTGGTATTCCTATCTGGCCCAATTGCTAGGGAGCATGTGATGTAGGTATTCACCTTGTCAAAGGTAGTGGTCTTCAGTGAAAAGCTGGAAATTCTGTGCCATTATTTTCTGGTATGTATGCTTGGGAGGGCATGCTTACAATTAGAACAGAAGTATCATCATTGTGGTTAGTAAGAAAAAAATGGTTTCACTTGCTTAAGACTGCCTATTATGCTGGTCAGTGATACAATATATTCTGGCATCTGTTGTCTCCAAATCCATATATTTAGTGAAATATATGTCATGGAACTTGATCTCTGTCTCTGCTATTTATGCAACTATGTCTGGCAATTCAATGAAGGTATAGACCATTTCCCTATTAATGCCCTTGTGCTCCCTGGCCTTGGTCACTAATTTGGCTTCTCCAAAACATATTTATGAACTTAACACAAAAGCAGTTGATGATTTATTGCAGTTTTCTATGTATCTTGTATTTGTAAAAATTCAGCATGTTTTTTAAAAAATAAACAATGAACCAGATGTAATTAATTGACACTCCGTGGTCATTAAGATATTAAAAGCATTTCTAGATAACTTGATAGGGCTTCTACAATAAATATTAAAATATGCTTTTTATTTCTTTCTCCTTGACTTTCTTGAGGGTAATATCAAAACATAACAAAAAATCCCTCAGGGTGCCTGGCTGGCTCAGGCACTAAAGCATGTGACCCTTGATCTTCAAGTGGTGAGTTCCAGTCCCACTTGGGGATAGAGTTTATTTTAAGAAAAAAAAAGTAAAATAAATTTTTAAAAATCCTTCAAATATGACATGAAGAATTTAAAATTCTTTTTCCAGTGTAAAGCAGCACAGTGTTCTCACATAGCTCTTTTCTTTGTAAAAAATTTGCCAAGGGACACCTGGATGGCTGAGCCAGGTAAGCCTCCAACCCTTGATTTTGGCTCAGGTCATGATCTCATGGTGTGTGAGATCAAGTCCCACATTGGGCTGTATGCTCATATCAGGGAGCCTGCTTGGGATTCTCTCTCTCTCTCCTTCTGCCCCTAACCCCTCTCAAAATAAATAAATAAACATTAGGAAAAAAAGTTTGCCCAGATAACAAGAACCCCTAAAGTCAAAAAGAGTAAGAGATGAGACAACAGTGAATGAGGAATGTTAATCTGTTTTCAGAAGTCCAAAGCAGAGGAAAGAATGATAAATTCAGAGATCAGAGAAAGTTACATGCTAAATGTCTGCAAGGCAGTATACCAAAGAGAGACAAACCCAACTGACAGAACCTGCAAGAGGCTCAATATCTGCAGGCAGAAGTTTCCAAGGAAGGGGGAAAGGCATGAGGCTGGACATGGGGGATTCATTAAAGTATATCCAGAGCTATTGGATGTCCAGGATCCCTATCCCTCCCTAGAATGACTTCCTTCCCCATCCCACAGATGAAAAGTGTACTTTCTAGGTAAATTGAATCAAAGGAGGCTCAAACTCAGAGAAAGCAGGCACAGATAAAGGGTTGTACAGCATCAAACAAAATTAGGTGAAAATCTATGTACTTTACAGCAGTAATGTTACCCCTCTTACTCCATTCTTGGTCTCATTAAATCCATTTCCAAGGCATACATCTACACACACACACACACACACACACACACACACACAGTTAAGATTCAAAGATTATTCTCTAAAGAAACCATGTGATCCAGAGAAAAGAGGTCAGATACTGACATTTGGGCCTTCTCCAAAGAAAAGGCCAGGTCACTATCTACTTCAATGAAGTCTACCTGCTGACAAGCTATCCATGCACCATTTGCTTTTCAGTGCCTCACTAGTATGTATGTATGTATGTATTCATTTATTTTTGTTTAATTAATTTATTTTTAATTTACATCCAAGTTAGTTAACAGATAGTGTAACAATGATTTCAGGAGTAGATTCCTTAATGCTCCTTAACCAGTTAGCCCATTCCCCCCTTCCACAACCCCTCCACAACCCTCTGTTTGTTCTCTGTATTTAAGAGTCCCCCTGGGGCGCCTGGGTGGCTCAGTTATGCATCAACTTCGGCTCAGGTCATGACTTCCGCTCGGGTCATGATCTCATGGTTCATGAGTTTGAGCCCCTAGATGGGCTCTATGCTGTCAGCTGGGAGCCTGAAGCCTGCTTCAGATTCTGTCTCCCTCTCTCTCTGCCCTTCCCCCACTCGCACTCTCTCACTCAAAAATAAATAAAACATTAAAAAATTTTTAAAGAATCCCTTATGTTTTGTCCCCTCTCTGTTTTTATATTTTTTGCTTCCTTTCCCTTATGTTCATCTGTTTTGTATCTTAAATTTCTCATATGAATGAAATAATAGGTCTTTCTATGATTAATTTCGCTTAGCATAATACCCTCTAGTTCCATCCACGTAGTTGCAAATGGACTTTTATTTTTTATTTCAATGCCTCACTTATTTTTAAAAAATTTTTATATTTATTTATTTTTTGAGAGAGAAAGAGGGAGCAAGCAGGAACGGGGCAGAGAGAGGGAGACAGAGGATCTGAAGCAGGCTCTGTGCTGACAGCAGAGAGCCCCAAAAGGGGCTCAAATTGTGAGATTATGACCTGAGCAGAAGTCTGACGCTTAAACAGACTGAGCCACTAGGCGCCCCAGTACCTCATTTG